TTTGCGCTCTGGAAGTGCTGGAAAGTGAGACGGAAAGAGGAGAAATTTGGCGTATCGCATGCATGCATAATGTTCCCATTTATTTTCCCATTGTCTCTCTCCATATGTTTGTTGGATGATATGAAACAGTGGAAATCCTTTTTTTTCATAGTATTCCCCAGAAAGGATTTAGCGGGAAAACCCCAGGATTTCACAGGCGTGCGAATCTTTCATCCGAGGTGTCACACTTCTAGATAGAAAGCAGAGTAATTCTGTTTGTTTGTATTTAGACTCTGGAAAAGATTATTTCTTTATATGGATCTATGTGTTGGCGGGCTTATTTTCATTCATAGTTTTGTTGCCTGTATGATGGAGACTGGGGAGATGGGAGATGGGTAGGCTGAATTAATACGGCACATCTGTATTATCTCCTTTCTAGAGCTCTTGTGGTTTCACTGTTTTATCAGTGTTTTATTACTATTTATTAGCACTGTTTTATTTTTTTATTATAATGGCTTCACCTTATGTTCTTAATCTTAATTTTTTTAGTTTTTCTGAAATAAATGAATGCTTTTAATCATGCATTCAATTGATCAAAAGTGACAGTAAATAAATGTATAATGTTAGAAAACTTTTTTTTTTTTAAATCCTCAAAAATCGCTGTCTCCATACTTTTTATTCAGCAAGGATGTATTAAATTAATCAAAAGTGACAGCAAATACATTTATAGTGTAAATTTAAATATTTCTAATTCGTATAAAAAATGTTCAAAAAATCCTCAAAAATGTTACTGTTTTCAACATTGATAATAATAAGAAATATTTCTTGAGCAGCAAATCAAATCAGCATATTAAAATGATTGCTGAAGGATCATGTGACACTGAAGACTGGAGTAATGATGCTGAAAATTCAGCTTTGATCACAGAAATAAATTACATTTTACAATATGTGACCCTGGACCACAAAACCAGTCATAAGGGTCAATTTTTCAAAACTGATATTTATACATCATCTGAACACTGAATAAATAAGCTTTCCATTGATGTTGTATGGTTTGTTAGGATAGGACAATATTTGGCTGAGATACAACTATTTGAAAATCTGGAATCTGAGGGTGCAAAAAAATCAAAATATTGAGAAAATCGCCTTTAAAGTTGTCCAAATGAAGTTCTTAGCAATGCATATTACTAATCAAAAATTAAGTTTGAAGAACATGATCTTTACTTAATATCCTAATGATTTTTGGCATAAAAGAAAAATCTATAATTTTGACCCATACAATGTATTTTTGTCTATTGCTACAAATATACCCCAGCGACTTAACACTGCTTTTGTGCTCCAGGGTCACATATATTCTGATAGAAATCAGTTATTTGAATTTGTAAAATATTTCACAAAATTACTGTATTTTTATCAAATAAATGCAACCTTGGTGTGCATAAGAGACTTCTTTTAAAAATGTTGCTACTAAAACCTTTAACTGTATGTCACAGTGCATCCTATGAATTTGTGGCTAAGTTTATCAGCTTTCATACAGAGTGATTTTAGTACATGCACTCCATGCTTTTAAGGCTGTATTGATTAACACGGGAAACAGCTTGGATGACATGAATCCCAACATTACTGTAACCTGCCCCCATTCCCATCCCATCCGGGTCGATATCAGTGGCACAGCTGTGTACGGTGACTCATTCAGCTGGAAACATAAAGCAAATAAAGGCCATTCACTGAGTGACTTCCTGTGGTACTATTAGAGATATTTGAGATATAACTCTTTCTGTCTGGCGTTAGACTCATGCCTGAAGCCTGCTGGATGGCAGAGGCTTTAATATCCCGGTTCAGGCAGTGCAGTATCCACTGGCTATATATCAACACAAAGAGGTTGTCTGTTTGTTTGCATACAGTCAATATTGGCCATTAATCATTATAGTGCAAAAATGTCCCACAGTGACTGTAAATAAATGCAGTGTTAATATGTAAACTGTGAAATCGCTGAGATGCATATGCGATATACTGTGATATCTCACTCCGATTGTCTGTTTTCACAGCTTTACACCCCAGACTAGAGTATATGAGCAGTCCAGGGTTATTATATCAAATAATAACCATAAAAACATTTCTTACTTGAAATAAAATAAATGTTAACTGAAATAAAATATAAAAATGTATACTTATTTCAACTAATTGCCAAAGCAACATTACTTTTATTTAGTTTGTTGAAATAAAAATTATAAAAAAATATATAGACATAATAAAAATAAAAAAAAACGATAAGCAAAAATACAACAAAACAAATTCGAAATATCATTGAAAAAAATCACTGGAGTGGTGATGCCTTCTTGTCACCGGTATATTGTCACAATGTGAATATTGCCCTAAATATTTGTTCTAAAATGAGTGTGTTGTATTTGGGTCCTCCAGGATCAGCATCAAGAAATACTCATGTAATAAGTCTGCCCTTGATGGGAAACTCCTGCTGCCATGTGCTCCAGCTCATTTTATAGACATAAATAATTCACACTCATGTCCAGAGTCGCTGTGCCTCAAGCAACCTGTGAAAATGATGGACACATGCGAACGATACAATTTATTGCACATCTCTTCTAAATAAATGGTTACATGAATGAATGAATGAATGAATGAATGAATGAATAAAAAAATCATTTATTTATTTATTTTCCAAATACCATATTTTTGAAGACACTCAATGCTTTGTAACTGTCCATCTCTGGTAAAATGCATTGATGGGAAGTCAGATGGTGATGCCAAGTGAACAGTTGGACAAATAGATGCTAAATTGCAAGTACTTGGATGCAGCACCACATATAATGTAGATTTATTGGACCTTAACCAGCATTAAATGCTAACCTGCAAATGTACATTAAGATGACTAGATTTCTGAAAAACCAGAGATTTCCTAGTTCAGTGGTCAAAAATATCATTAATGAAATCTCACTTGTTATTCTCTATTAATTAAAAATGGGGACAATATATTTTTATATGTTTTGTTTTTTAATTGTTTTGAGTTCCATATACTGATATTATGAATAACAATTATGATGTTTGCAGGTCTAACTGTCCCTAACTGTTTTTAATGCAATTCACCAAAAATCGGAGAAAAACAAACAAACAGATCTTTACAAAAATAAAACAAATACAAGTACATAAGATAAATAAAACTGTATTTAACAAATATTTTCAGTTTTCTAATTGGATGCAATATTTTCATTTTCACATTGTGACTATTTTAATTAAAACTTTACAAATTTTACTTTATGTTTGTGCTTTTGGAAATGGATAATATTTTTTAATGATTATTTTACATTTTAGGCTAATTTTGAGCACAAAGTATGTGTTTTCTGCAAATATAATTGCAAGTGTATTATTGACGTTTTTTAATTTTTTTTAATTATTTATACACATCAAAGAGTTCTTTCCCCCACGTGGTATAATTAAAGGGGTCATATGATGCGATTTCAATTTTTCCTTTCTCTTTGGAGTGTTACAAGCTCTTGGTGCATAAAGAAGATCTGTAAAGTTGCAAAGACTAAAGTCTCAAATCCAAAGAGATATTCTTTTTAAAAGTTAGGAGTCAACCACGTCTACCTAAAACAGCTCGTTCTAACACGCCCCCACATGTCTACATCACTATGTGGGAAGATTTGCATAACGCCGCCCAAATGTTCACGCAAAGAAAGAAGGCGTAACTTTTATTCTCGCTGTAGTATTGTTGACGCCGCCGCCGCCATGTCGTGAAGGCGCTGTGCGTTGTGAAAGCGAAACTACTTTGTTTGGTCTTCCAAAAGAGGACACAACTAGAAATCAGTGGTTAAGTTGTATTTACAACACTGTTGTTCTCAAGCCCCCGGCCTCTGCTCACGCTAGGCCGACGTGTGTGATGCTGTGTTTCGTTGTGAAAGCGAAAATACTTTGTTTGGTCTTCCAAAAATGGACACGACTAGAAATCAGTGGTTAAGTTGTATTTACAACACTGTTCCAGAACAGTTCAACCCAAATATTCAGATGTGTGCAGTACATTTTATGGAGGACTGTTTCCTGATCCTGGTAGAGTAGACTACAATGCCGGCTGTTCTGACTCTCAGATTGTAAGTACGTCTTTTATATTTAAAGAGTTTTTATATTTTATAGTTTAAATTTAAAGAGAGTTTTTTGAGCAGTGTAGAGTGGGGCTTGTTGTTTGTCATTTCTCCGATCACAAATGCAGACATGGTTTTATGTTTATGCGGCACGATGCAATGCAACGCGTAATAAAAAAAAGTCATTATAATCCATAATTATGTCCCCACTGGATGCAATGAATGCCTCGTTTATAATGGGTTTTCATGTTTTTGAATCATCGCTCCGGCCTGACAGGGCATCATCACAATATGGTGAGGGGCGTAACATTTCCGTCTCACGCTTGAAGTATTCGGCCAATCATAACGCACTGGATAGCTGGCCAATCACAGCACACCTTGCTTTTCAGAGCGATGAGCTTTGTAAAAATCGACGATATCAATAATGTAGAAACAATAATGTACAGTATGTGGAAAATAATGTGTTTTTTTTTACCTTAAACCGCATAAACACATTTCATTACACCAAATACACAAAATCATTTTTTTAAAGTTCTTTTTAGCAACATCATATGACCCATTTAAGATGTGTTTGGGAATTACTGCTTTGTAATGGTAGAACGTTTGGGAATGTTTAAAATTGTGTGCAAATTCTGCTATTTATAGGTGTCAAACCAGTGTTTCTCTGGTTTCTGTGTAGCACAGGATCACAAAATTTAAATAAAAAAGACAACTGCATATATTTTTCATATACAAAAAAAAATTATTCTGTTTACAAGAATGTTGCTCATTGTGTCCAGAGGTGTGTATGTTTATTAGCTATGTGTCTCATTGAAAAGGGTCATTGGAACATGATGAGATATGAATTCACTGAGCAATTAATGGTGTTGGGTTTTTGTAGCCTCAAAGTTTGTACTTGTAGTAATATTTTGATCTTCTGAACAGGTATATCCGCACAATGTACCTGGGCATCCAGAGTCGACGGCAGAAGGAACACAGTCGGCGCTTCTACTGGGCGATGATGTACGAGTATGCTGACGTCAACATGCTCCGGCTGCTGGAGACGTTTCTAGAGAGTGCCCCCCAACTGGTGCTACAACTCTGTATAATGATCCAGAAGAACCGGGCCGAGACACTACAGTGTAAGTGTGAACCGTACCTTAGTGGAGTTCGTTCAGTCAACTAAAGCTTAGCGCTTGCAACTGTAAACTTTCAGAATGCATGATAAATGCTAGCTAAATAGATCCCTCAACATCAGCTAGATTTCTGTAGAGTGCTGTAGACCAGAATTGAGTCCTGAAACCCAGAAAAGAGTTGGCATTTTTGTACTTCCATCATCCTGTAATCAGGAACAACATACCGGAAGTTGTGAGCTGGTGAAAATAATGCATTCTAGCGCCTTTTACAGTGCGTGCCATTGTAAATACTGCAAGTCTATCCCTCACTAGGGATGTAAAGATTTCACTAGAGATGTTTAACGAATTGCGATACAACTGGAGGTAGGAATTTATATGTATGTATATCTGAAGGGAATTTACTGTCTTCAGAAAAGTTTCGATGGTATTTTCTTTTCGTCTTGCCTCAATATAATGCATATTAAAGTAGTATTTAAAAGCGCAGCGCTGCTTTGTTTATAGCGGTAAATCTAATTTAGATTAAAAACTACTCATGCTGCATGTATGCAGCATAGTTTTTTGGATTGTGATTAAATTACAGTGATTGCCTCTAATTTTAAATGTAAAGAGCACAGATAAAACCTTAGTTTGTTTATATAAAGAGATTTCTTTTATTTGTGTTATTCGTGGTCACGAAAACGTATTGTTTGTATGCATTCAAAAGCAAGTGATTTTAAGCTGCTGAAACACAATCAGCAGCGAAAGAGAACTCATTTCGCTATGTGCTTAGTGAGGCGCACGCGTGAAGACGGTAGCGCGGGAGTATTATTGCCACTTTATAGGCCTTGAACAGTTAAATACACACACCCATTTTTGCAAGTATCCTCATAAACACAGTAATTTAGGTTTCAAGTGAAAGCAAACAGCAGAGAAAGATAACGTGTAACAGTATTTTGGATCCGGCAGCTGACAGCAGTCTAAAATTCCTGCTGCCTGTCATTCATGTTACTCAAACAAAAAAAGAGAGAAAATCTCTCACTGCTCTTGACTAAATCTTGTGACTTTAGTAAGAAGAAATATATATTTAATTTACATAGTGAAGAATATGCAGTGTTTTTATACATTTGATTATTTTATACATTGTATTTAGCATTTCTTATTTATTTATTCTACTGTAGTTTTTTTTGTCCTTGCTTGTAATTAGTTTCTTGTTCTTTTTTAATCTCTGACTGTTTACTTGTCTTCAGTGAGCTTGAGTTTTTTTTTCCATGATATTGATACTGGTGAGAAGAATTATGAAATTTCTATGGTATCATAAAGACATTATTTAAAGCAAAAATAACTATATCGTGATATATATCGTTACCGTGAAATAAAATTAATCATATCTTGATACAAGATTTTCGTCATATCGCCCACCCCTTCACATTAAATTAAATATGTTGTCTAACCTGACATAAGTCTGTGCCTTCATTCTATTATATTTGTGTGCCACATTCAGCGCTTCTGTGAAAAGTGATGTAAAGTGTGATGAAACAAGAGGGGAGGGTCTAGATGAAATCCGAATACAAATGGTCACATGAGACACATTTAAAATGCATGGTAAAACCAGGTGCAAACGGTCATTTGTCTTGGCTGACAGCTTGTGATCAGATCACTGAAAACATATCTTAATATCAGGTGGAAACAGGGCCTCTGATAAGTATACTGAAGACTGTCTGTCATCATGAATACCTCACAGGTGTCTCCTCCGTTGCCTCCCTACTCTCGCTGGCCTGGGTCCTGGCTTCATACCACAAGCTCCTGCGCGACTCCAGAGACGACAAAAAGAGCATGAGCTACAGAGGCGCACTGATCCACATCTTCTGGAGGCTTTTCACCATATCCTCACGGGTGCTCTCCTTTGCCCTCTTCGCTTCCATCTTCCACATCTACTTCGGCATCTTCGTGGTCGTGCACTGGTGTGCCATGGCGTTCTGGATAGTGCACGGCGGCACGGATTATTGCATGTCCAAATGGGAAGAGGTGCTCTTCAACATGGTGGTGGGCATCGTCTACATCTTCTGCTGGTTCAACGTGAAGGAGGGCCGAACCCGGTTCCGCATGGTGATCTACTACTTCGTGGTGCTTGCCGAGAATACGGTGCTTACTTGCCTGTGGTACGCCTACCGAGACCCGGTCACCACCGACTCCTATGCAGTGCCGGTGCTCTGCGGGGTTTACCTGACCTTCGCCTCAGGGGTGGTTTTCATGGGCATCTACTATGGGTTCCTTCATCCGATGGGACCTAAAATAAGGGTGCTAGCTAGCTCCTGTTGTGCCGAGCTTCTTTGGGGACTTCCATTCCCCCCGGAGGCCGAGCCCATGGTGCCCACCCCTGGGCCGCGAGCGTCCCAACCCACTCCCAGCCGGGCTTCCATGGGGGCCTTTGGCCAGCAGGACGACACCTCGGCAGACACCTGCCTGCCCGTGTTTCAGGTGCGCTCACCCGAGCCCACCACTCCCTTGGGCCGCTACCGGCCAGAGGGACCTCTGATAAAGATCGACATGCCCAGGAAACGCTACCCGGCCTGGGACGCGCACTTCGTGGACAGGCGCTTGCGAAGGACGATAAACATCCTGCAGTTCATCACGCCCGCCACCGTCGGGATCAGGTACAGGGATGGACCGCTGCTGTACGAGCTCCTGCAGTACGAGTCGTCCCTGTGACGTCTGCCACGTTTCGCGAAATGCATGCCATTTTGGTTTCCATATAAATGCATACTTGTGTGTAAAAGAGTGTAAGCATCAAGCATTGCACATTTTTCTTTGACGTGAAAAGCCTCTAGAAGATGTGTATATATTTTGTATGTATATACTGTCTCTTTTTTACGATATCCGTTTAGAAATGTGTCCCCGTGAAGGGATATGTATGCGCCATGGTGTTTACGGCCAGCAGAAACCATTACATTGGAAAAATGGAGATTGGTTGACCACATCAACACCGCCTTGTGTTTAGTTTTTTTTATACAGTTTTTATTCATCTATACTAGCTTAACTGATATTTCAGAGCCTTTTTTCACATTTGCATTGATCGATATGCTCAAGTTGGTGTTTATATACAAAAAGCACCTGCTATAACCTAGATTTTCCACTTGTGATTTACATTGATGATGCAATCAAAAGTCACTTATTTTCGGTAAGAGTTGTCGATTTTTGAGTAGGAAGTTCTACTAGCAAACTACAGTAGAGGGATTTGGCCTCTAGTGAATTCATCTCTGTACGCGCCCCTTTACACTGACGTCTGCAGGTGAGAATCCACCTGTCAGACAAAATCCAAGTGGCATTCATTGTCTGTTTGCCTTAAAATCTGTATTTAGTTTGTTAAAGTGTCTTGATTATTGTATTCTTCGGTTATTAAAGAAATACCTCATTGACTCTGTATAGCACAGTTCAAATCCATTAAATCCTTTGCACAATAAGTATGGTTAATATTGCACTGAGAATCAGGTTAGATCTGTTTAGTGGGAATTTATATTAAGAATTAAATAATAAAAGCACACAGCTCTTGGGCGGTTTTGAAGGAACAGTTTTGTACAGAGAATAGCACATTGAATTGGTGATTTTTAAATCATTTTTCCTCAATTATTGGGATGTTTTTGTTTCCCGGCTTTGTTCACACCGCAAGCCATGAATCCCTCATTCTAATTTTCAGCTGCTTAAATGATATGTATTATTTATTGTTCTATTTTTGTTAAAATTATAACTTAATATTATTGTTTATAATTAATTTTATTATATTATTTTATTTTTATTGCATTTCTAGAAATGATACATTTATTAGAATTTTCCAAGTTTAGCATCATTCCACTGACCAAGTGTGAAAGTGTGCAATTATGACGCAAGTCGAGTTTGATCGGTTGATTGGAAAACACATCAGATTCAGCTGCGGTGTGAACATCAGAAATAAGCACAGAAAACCCTCGACAAGGTGGCGTTGTATGACTGGTCCTCTCCATTTTTTCAACCTCTTTTCGAGCATTTAGACTGCATAGTGTGTATACGGTTACTACTCTCATCTGTTTGTCTGGTCTCATCATCCAAAATTCCAAGTAATAAACTTGTGAGGTGCAGAAATGTGGCTGCGGTTCTCTGAGGAACCCTGGCCCACATATTTTTCCTATGTAATGACTTAATTGTCAGTTTTTTAACGTTTATTTTATTCTAAGGTGCAACAAGATGCTAAGCTAATGGCATTTGAAGTTATCTTTGCCTGAATATACCTGAGTGTATTTAAGTAACCTTAGCAGAGTCTCACCAGGAGGATTTTGCGATCGTTTGAGAAGAGGATGATAATTGCCTCAACACACAGGGCTCGCTGCCGCCCGCAGCGCGAAACAAACAAAGCCAAATCACATCCTCTACTGTAACAGTCTCTCTCTGCTATTGGTGCATCCAGCCACCTGTTAAGGCCGTCCTCCTTGCTGATTGGTGCTTATAGTGAAGCATTTGTTTCTTGCTACCTAAGCATGCAGTTTGTTTTTTGGTGCTACTCTGATTATTTTGCCATGTGGAAACTGTGGGATTATTAAAAGTGCACCAAGTATTTATTTGTTTATTTTTATACTGTAAAGAATTTTACCTGTAGTGAAATAAATAACTGCACTTCTGGAAAGTGTTTAAAAGGATGTGCATAAAAAAAAAACAGTTCTTCCTTTGCAAAATGTATGAGACGTGAAAAAATTTTGTTTTGGAAATTTCACAAAAAATGTCAGTAACACATTGAATTAAACATCGATTTAAATATTTTTATCTTGTAAAATGTACTCCAATAATTTACAGCTTCAAAACACTTTAAATATAAATAGCTCTTCCAAACATTGGGTAAAATAGTAAATTTTTATTCATAGTTAAGCTATTTTAAACTATATTTTTGAATAAAAATTCAACTTCTTAATGAATTGCAGTACGTTATTGGTTGGGATACACATAGTTCTTCAAAAAGAAGTTCTTAGAAAGCAGCATGATTTCTTTTTTAAACATAGCCTTGTATCTCATGCAATATTTTGTTATTTCAGTGCAATATTTAAATTACAACAAAACATTGAATCAGACAGTTTTCTGGCTGCATTGGTCAGTGAAACATGAACAAAAATGTACTTGGTGCACCTTTAACTATAGGAATTGTCTCCTGTGCTTTCACATGAACTCATTGCCATTTCGAGTTTCCAAATCAGAGCGAACCTGAGGCAGCGCTGGCTTGGTGCACCACATAGAGGAGATCACATATGTCCTTGACTCCATTGTGCCTGCTTTGATCCCAACATCCAGATGCCATACAGGTGCATCCAGCAGGTGAAAAGGGTTCTTGCCAGGTTGGAAAAAGAGCTTGAGATCAATCTCCAATTGGCATGTGTTTCCCCTTAATTTGCTCATTAACACTGGGTCTCTCGACTTGGCTTCCTCCCTGGTTGCTGCTAGCCCTTCCCTCACATTAACATGTGGCTCAGGTGTATTCTGGTGCAGATATTCATGTTTTAGATTTCCCTGCAAATATAAATCTATAGTAATAGGTCATCCTGAGGACAGTCCTCCTCCAGCGTTCATTTCAAGGCTGTGTGTGTGATTCCTGTGCATGTTTCGCTCATCCACCGCATTCTGGATCACTGTTGTTTGCTGGAGAAACCTGTATCTTTTCATGCTGTCATTTTGAGTTTTGCCAAAGTGTGTTTTTTTATGTTTTTGATGGCTGCCAGATGTGCCGTTCTACATCCATCCGTGCATCTTCACTCGTGCACATCTGTGCTGTAAATATTAGTCACCTATTGGCCTCTTCCGGGCACTAATACACTGTGATTAGTTCTCCTTCTAACCAAGCATTCAGATGCATTCAGCTTGTCGAGTCCAAGGTCTAGAAACAAGCTTCCGCTGCTGAAGACTGTATTATGAAATATAACCGCGCTGAAAACACCTCAGACATTACTGTTGTCCTGTTAGACAGTACTTGATATGATGTAGTCAAAATTTATTTTTTGTTTACTCAGGCATTTTATTTTCCTCTGACAAACTTGAATATGTCAAACTGAAATACTCATCATGCAAGGGCTTCCTTGATATGGACAGTATTAGACAATATTGCAGCATTCAGTTAATAATATAGGTGTATATTATAATGATGCATTTATTATTATACGTTGTATTATGAAAACTAAAATATATGATAATGAAGCATTCAGCTAATACCACTATATGTGACCTTGGAGCACAAAAGCAGTCTTAAGTTGTACGGGTATGTTTGTAGCAACAGCCAAAAATACATTGTACGGGTCAAAATGATCGATTTTTCTTTTATGCCAAAAATCATTAGAATATTAAGTAAAGACCATGTTCCATGAAGATATTTTGTAAATTTCCTATCATAAATATATCAATTTTGATTAGTAATATGCATTGCTAAGGACTTCATTTGGACAACTTTAAAGGCGATATTCTCAATATTTTGATTTTTTTTGCATTCCAGATTTTCAAATAGTTGTATCTCGGCCAAATATTGTCCGATCCTAATAAACCATACATCAATGGAAAGCTTATTTATTCAGCTTTCATATGATGTATAAGTCTCAATTTCGAAAAATTGACAGTTAAGACTGGTTTTGTGGTCCAGGGTCACATATTAAACTAGAGCCTTATTTATTGGTTCCATAAAGAACCTTTAACACCCATGGAACCTTTCCAGGTTCTTTATAGTGGAAAAGCACTCTTAAAAATAAAGTTTCTTTATTTGAATCTATGGTTCCATGGAGAACCTTTAACGTCTGTGGAACCTTTCCATTCCGCAAAAGGTTCTATATAGTGGAAAAAGGTTATGATTATTCACACTAAGATAAATAATGGTTCCTTTAAGAACTGTTCACTGAAAGGTTCTTTGGGAAATCGAAAATGGTTGTTCATTGGCATCGCTGTAAAAAAAACACCTTTTGGAACCTTTTTTACGAGTGAAGGTGTTTTAGAATAGTAAAGAAATGGTTCTTTTGTGAACTGTTCACTGGAAGATTGTTTTGAGGAACCCAAAATGGTTCTTCTGTGCGAGGGGAAAAAAAGCCTTTTGGAAGCTTTATTTTTAAGACTGTACTTGATTTTCACAGACATCTTAAAGATGCCATTCGTTTTGATGTCATCATTAGGATGTGACGTCGATAGGAATTTTCATTTGCCATTATTCCATTTTTCACCCATTTATTTTACCCCGTGGTGCCTTATAACGTCGGTGCTTCTAACCGCCAAGGCAACCAGTTCAGCAAACAACAATGCCAGTATATTTCTATTTATTTATTTATTTATTTTTTCAAACGTGCCAATGCAGTGAATGGAACTGTACATAAACACATGTAACATAGCAGCACGACAGAACGGTGACGTAAACATTCCAGCGTTGTCATGGTTATGTGACTGCATTGGAATAGACGCTCCACAGACGGCGGTGAAGCAGTACTAGACATCGGCCTTATTAAAAACGACAGAATAAACATATGTCTAGCCCGTTATGAGAGGCAAACGTTAGGGCTAAAGTTGATTTCTGTATGTGATGTCCAGTACTGCTTCACCAGAGATGAGAACAATATCTTCAAGGTGCTAAAACTGAACCATATTTTGTACATTCAGTTTTAAATGTATAGATTTGTTCTTGTAAAGCCTTACCTTGTACTGATCGACGTATCAGACTGTTCATCCAAAAAAAATTACAGAACAGAAAATGTACAGTAGAAGTATGTTTCTGTTGTTATGTACAGACGGAAAACGTTTTTATCTCTATTG